CTGGCCATTGCAAACAGAGGTTGCTCTGGCAGCAGTGTATGCCATGGTCCGGCCCAGCCACTATGAACAAAGTTTGCTGCTGGAGCAGCCTCTGTTCGTGGCAGCCAGGGCTGGCTGAGAGCAGAGGCTGCTGGATCTGGCATGAGCTGGGATTAAATAAGCCTGGATCAGACTGGTCCGGGATTGTTGAGGCTCTGCATTTTAAATGTAGTGGAAGCCAAGCTGCCTGCACGCTCGGCTCCCAATACTTTTAAAGTGCACATACAAATTGCATCAACTACATAATCAGTCAGTTACCTGCCTCTTAACATCCCTATTTATATAGTCAAACAGATGTGTTGGCAGCACAGTAATCATCAGAAAGAAGTATAATGCAGCACACTGGCATCTGGATCACTGAATATATTTCTGAATCCAGTTCTCAATTATGGGCAAAAGCCAGTTACATCATGTAGCTATACAAGGAAATCAATGCTTTTATCACATAGTAGACTAGACAATTTCATGACAAGGGTATGGGTGGACTGCTTCCATCAACAATATTATTCAAGGATAATAAATACAAAAGTAGAGCTGACTTAACATTTTGATTGCTATACTAGGGATGTTAAATTTAGATTAATTAACTACATCGAATAGTCGATGGGATTTCCATCAACGATTTGATTAGTCTATAAGGGCGCCTCTGCCTTTGAACTGTAGCAAGAGCCCTACTGGGTAACACTCCAGACTGGACAACTGCTTAGAAGTTGGCAGATCATGGCTCTCTGACTTTGCAGCCTATGGAACTTTGAACAAATGCACAAATTCACCCTTCCTCCACTCCACTTTGTGCCACTACTTGGTTTATACTAGTCAAATATGACTATCTGGAGAAGTAGAATTTAAATTATATCACTTACAGGCTTTGGCTTTGCTCTTGAATTACACTTTTTTAAATGTTTTTGTAATTGATCTTCATATACTGTGCTAAAAATCAGAAAAAGAGACATGAGCAATGACTAAGTAATAATTTTAACAATGAACATACAAACATATATAAAACACACTTACTGTTTTGGGTCAAGAGGGCATGGAATTCTTTTCCTGTCATTTTCTTCCTAGTTGGAAAGAAAATGTTTATTTAGTTAGCACATGATTATGGTAGTAATTTCAGATTTATGTCTGTCAGTGACTAAAAATAACAACTCTTGTTAGCCTCGATTTATTGGAATTAGGTCAAACGGAAAAATAAGCTGTATTTCAGTCAGAGAAATGAGGAAATTGAACTGGCTGATGGATGAAGGAACACCAAGCAACTGAAAGCCTTTATACATCACTATGGTGACCATATTTTCTGAACCAAAATTAGACACACACTAGCGATGCCCCCTGACCTCTTTAGCTACACCCCTTGCCACAAGAAGCCCCCACCACTAGCAGTAGTACTCCAAGGGGCAAGATGGACACAAGACCAGAAGTAGTAGGTGTCATGTGACCCCTCTAAGAATTCCTCCCACCATCCTCTATCAATAGGAATGGGTTTGGCTTTCACAGGACCCTCCATGCAACTACCCTGCAGTTGCATTAACCCAATTTGTATTACATTAACTCATGGGGCGGGCGGGGAGAAGTGTTCCCTCTAAGATTTGCCTCCTATTAGCGGAGTGAATTTTGTCTTGTGCACCAGTATTGAATTCATGAGCTCTTGTTTGCATTAGGGATGTAGTAGTATAGTCGCTTAACCGACAAGCAAAAGTTTATAGGTTAATGCTATAGACTACATGCATTTCCCTCTCCCTGCCAGTAAATTTGTTAGCAGGCTGGCCAGAAGCCTGACTCAGTCCTGGCTTGCGATGGGTCCAGGACCTACTCCTGCTGTGGCTCTGCATTTAAAGTGTATTAGGAGCCAGGCAGGCAGGCAGTCTGGTTCAGTCCTGGCTCACACTGGGTCCAGGACTTACCCCCATTTCAGCTCTGTAATTCAAGTATATTAAGAGCCAGGCAGGCAGGCAGCCCAGCTCTGTTCTGGCTTGTGCTGGGTCTGGGAGTTCAACCTTCCCCCCCTCATAGAGAGAGACTGCTGCCACCCCATGCTACTGCCTCTTTCTCAGAAACACCAGCACAGGGTGACAGGCAGCCAGTCCGCAAGGAGAGCTGATTTTTATACTGGCTCCCCTCGCGGACCAGCTCCTGCCTGGCACCCCATGTTAGTGCCTCTGATACAGTGGCTGCTGGCCCTGCCCCCGGGGACAATAGAATAGTCAACTAACCGATAAAATGTCACGAGGTTACTTGACTATTCGATTAACTGATATTTAACACCCCTAGTTCAGATGTGTGCCACTGTGGCACCCAAGTTATTAATAAATATCTTATAAACCTCTCCCTTTTCCCCTCTGCTGCCATATCTCCCAACCTCTTCACATCCAATCTGCTACCCAAGTTCATTCTGCTGCTCCCTACCCCTCACCTACCTCTGCTGTCTGGCTCCTGCCCTTTGGGAACTTGCCCCCTTCCTTATCCTCCTGACCCCCTGCATCAACCCTTCTCTTCCCCCTGTGTCCACCCCCCCTCTAACCCCCCTCTGATCATCTGTAGCTACCCCTCCCCATCTCCTCGCGTAACACCTCCCTCTACACACCTGCCCTGCTTCTCTCCTCTGGTGCCTGTCCCTCCCCTCCACATGTCTGCCCTTCTAATTCACCCCCACAATTCTCTAACACCTGCACCTTTACTTACTCCTGCACCTTCCTAATACCTCCCTCACTGCCCCTGCTCTCCTTGCCCTCGTTCTTCCTGGTGCCCACCCCCTCACCTACTTTTGCCCCAATTCCCCTCATGCCCCTCTGTGCCCTTACACATGATTTGCTCCATCCCCTGCCTTCCTCATGTCTGCCCCTCCCTTCAACCACTCTTCTCCTGGCACCCATTCCTTCCCTCTCGCCGCCATTGTCCCTCCCCTGTCATCTCCAAGTATCACCCTGTCCACTCCCTTCTCTCACCTCCACTTCCCTTCCCTTCCCCCCTCCTGCCCTTTTCCTCATTGTCTCCTCTTGGCACCCTGGCATTTTTCTCTCCTCTACCCTGCCCCTTGGTGCCTGCCTCTTTCTTCTCCTGCCCTGCCCCCCACCTCAGCACAAGCCCCTTTCTCACCCTCACTTCCCCCTAGTTCTCCTCCTGCCCCTTCCCTCATCTCTGCCTTCGACATGGAAAGCAGTTTGCGGGGCCTGGAGTGATGGTCGTGGTGCTATTTTTAGTACCGCGGTCTGGCCCCAGAAGCCCCCACAGCTCCAGCTGGAGTCAAGCTGCTGGAGCCACCTGCAAGGACCGGGACTGCGGTACTAAAAATAGCACCCCAGGCAACTTCCACTTCCAGTCCCAGCACCTTCCAAGCCCAAGTGCACTCCACCGCGCAGCACGTCAGCTGGGCTTTGCGCAGCTCCTGCTGGGGCTTCAAGGCATGAAGGTCTAGGAGCGGCTCTGTGGGGCTTTGCCTTGAACCCACTCAGCCCCACTGGCAGCTGCAGCCACTGTACTAACAAGCACCCTGCAGGAGGAGGAGGCAGTGCCTCCTGACTGGGACCCTATGTGGCAGAGGTGGTCTTGCGGGGGAAGGGAGAGGCTGCACAGCACTGGAAGCCAGCCTGGCTGCCTGCCGGCAAAGCTCCAATGGAGCTGCCCACACTCTCTGCTGGAGGCAGGGAGAGGAGGCTGCTGCGCCGTACGAGGAGTAATGGCAGAGAGCCATTTCTTGGTTGCTTCTTCCCGCAAGCTGGTGTTGCCATCAAGTAGTGAAATGTCCAGTGGGGCTTTCCGGGATATTTCACTACTTGATGGGGCACCAGGACAGAGTATTTAAATTCAGACCTGTGATGAAAAAATCAGGATGTATGGTCAGCGTATACATCACCAGGAATTACTCTTTACCAGGGCTACTCAACATGCGGCCGGCGGGCCACATACGGCTCACAGCCCTCTTGTTTGCAGCCCACTGTGCCATTTGGTTTACGCGGGGCTCAACATGCGGCGCACAGGTGGGAGCCAAAACAAAAATGTAGTCAATATAATGGTCTTCTGTTGCTAATGCATTGTAGTAGTTAAATTCCTGGACTGTCATTACTCACGAAAAGTGCTGTCGTATGGGTGGGAATCGAGTCAATATTGCATGTTATTAATATCAGCGGAACGGTTTTAAATGGGGCCTGCATGTTGTGTAGTCCTGCCTTAATCTTTGTATTCATGCCTGTCAGTGTGAAAGAAGCTATTTGCCTGGATATTTGTACGTATGCGCCACCCCACTGAAGATGCGGCCCTGGCGATGTGCTGCGAGGATGAGCGTGGCCCCCGGGCTTCCAGGGCTGAGGAGCCCTGCACTAGGGGAGGTTCTAGCTCGCTCTGTCGGCAGAGGCCAGCAGTGGGGAGGTGTCAAGAAGGCGCGTGAGGCGATGGCTGACTAAGGCCGTACCAGACGCACCCGTCATTCGAAGCGCAGACAGAAGGAGGCCCCGCCCCCCGGGACGCTACTGAGGAGCTAGTTAGAGGGTCTCAGCCAGGCCCCCCCGCTGCAACAATCCCAGTCGGAGACCCAGGACTGCGCTGGCCTGGCCTGCCCCCGTCACAGGCCGGGCTGCCCTGGGACTGGGAGACAAGCTGGGCCCCTCACCGGCCCGCGGAGACACCTGGCGCGCTTGGCCTGTCTCTATGGCGCTCGCCCTGGGGACACGTGCCAAGCGCGCCCACTGAGGCTATAAAAGAGCCTGAGGGCGGGGCACGCTCTACCCCTTCCTGAAGCCACACAGGTGAGGGGCCCTTCGCCCCGGTACCTCCTGCTGCCCGTGCTCCCCGCAGAAGCGTTTCCCCTCAGCCGGGATCATTTTGCAGAACCGCTTCTTCCGCTCCACGAAGTAACCGCAGCGGCCGGGCAAAGGAGCCCCGGGACCGCCGGGCGCC